ATATTGATAAGCCACAATTTGACATCATATTTTTGCTTATGTCTGCATAAATAGGCTGGAAAAAGAAATAAGCACTACCTTTCCTGTTATTTGGGTCCTTTATACAGGAAATCACATAATCCTTGAGTCACACTCAACTGTCAAAGGTATGGGTCAAGTCTTCATACCTGTTAGGAGTTTTTGTGTCCACATAAGTGTGGATACTTCTATTACTCTTAATAAGGGGAAGGGCTGGGTGATAAATAGAAAATTTATCGTTTCCGACTGTAGCCAATATTATTTTTCCCATGTCAATAAATTCGATAATAAAAAAAGAAAAGATGTGTGTAGATTGTCAAATTTAATGTGTCTTTAAAATGCTGCACCACCTCAAGTCAGCATGAGTGACAGCCCCATCTAGTGGACAACTTTTGTGTATTGTTCATACGTGTAATTATCGTCCATTTATTGGTATCAAGGTTATCTCCTCAATATACCGTGATACTGATTTTAGGCAATATTGACCAGCCCTATTAGGGGGTACCCCAAGGCTCACACTTTGGGTCCCGTTCAAATGTCTTAGGTGCTTTCACTGCGATTCGTTTTCAGAACATTGTTTTCCTTTGTTGTGCTGATAATCTTCAAATCTGTCTGTACAATAGTCATTTAACTTTTCTGATACCTGTCTGACTGCATCAGAGATGTGCAAACACATCGATGATTATAAAATGACTTTTTTGGTTTTTTAGATCTCAGTGATTACGTCAGTGCCGATGACTCATTAGTGTCCTATCCATCAGCAGGAACATCAGTTCACTTTTTATTCCACTTTTAAATATGATAAACGGCTTGGCCACCTACTCTCAATAGCGTAAAGTTACGTTTAGCAGAACATCAGTCTTGTTTTTTTGCTTTACAAATGGACTTTTTCTGAGCTCATCGGCATTTTTTTTTAAATGCATGTGATTGTTGTGAATGCATCTCACTAAAAACAAACAAGAAAAAAATACTACTGTCTCTACGGAAAATAACACAAAACAGGAAATGTATCGTTGCCAAAGGATTTGTTTATGATTGTATCCGATACCCAGTTCTTGTTGTTTACACACGTCATTTTTGGCAAGCCAACCAAGCAAACACTAGAAATAAACGTAAGTGTCATCAAACCATTGTCAGGTTGTTGCTCACGTCCCGAGCAGCAGATTCTCGGTATTCTTCCTCCATCACTGTGTTAATTATAGATCTGAGGAAGCCTTGATGAGTATTAAATCAGGCTTTCCATTTGTCTGACCTCAACAGAAATAACACCATTATTGCAGAGTTTTAGTAAATTAGCCTATCTTGCTTGGGTGCTTTAGAAAATGTCCAGATACTTGATTGATGATGATCTTGAAGACAGATTATCTAGTCAGGATGAGCGGCATTATGATATTATCACACTAACACCTGCTTGTGCTGACCAGGACCCAGTCACTGAAGCTCACTACCCAGAAGCCAAGAAACACCAGTGTGCTTCTACATCAAATGAACAGACAGGAGATCAATTTTGGCTGATGAAATGCTGTTGCTTTATGCACCACTTGTCCTTTAGCTGAGGACATAAACCTCAAAATGGTGGTTGATCAGAGACACAGCTGAAGCAGTCCACACACACATTTCCCTCAGTGTTATTTATCATACTTCCTGCTGCGGTGGTTTTCTTTGAGAGTCAGATTTTTCCTCTGCTGCTCAAGTTTGGCCGTAAACACCATTAATCACAATGTGTCTCAGTACTTCTGTTGCTGCCACATATCTGTGGCTGCTGCTCAGCTCTAATTAAAGCCTCCATCTCTCTTTAACCGAAGAAATTATTTAATGCAATCATTCTGCATTCAGGGTTCAGTCACAGGCTGGGATCATTTTATTGTATTGTATAATCCGGCGCTTACAGCATCCAAATTTTTTGGTGATGTTGATGTTTGAGGTCCGAAATAAAAAAATTAAAGTTTGTCGGGAAAGATTGGCCACAGCAGGAAAGAAAAACAATTTTGTGAAACTCAGCTGTGTTTACTCACCCTGTTAGTCATCTCTGACTTCTCAGATTTATCTTGTGACCCCGTTTAGGAGGTCCTGAGCTTCTGGAGATGTTGTGGGTCTTGGATGTTGCACACAGTGACAGGTCACAGCATGTCTGTAAACACTGTTCCTCTGAACCGGTGCTGGGGCCCGATAGGGACTCGCTGGTTAAAGTAACATCTTCTCTTTCTAAAATTTTGTGTGTGGGAGTTTATCTCGGTGTGTGGGAGCCGTTGCCCTATAAATGGATTTGTGTCGGTGTGCTTGGAGATCACAGCGTGATGCTCTAATCTGATTGACCACAGAGATGGATGTGTCAAAGAGAGGTATGTTTAAGTCTGTCTGCACATGCAGGTGTAGGAGGTGTCCATCCGTCCAACCGCCTGCTGGAATGTGTCACTGTGGTGTTATTTGAGCTCAGCAAGGAGGCTCAGTGACGGTTTTAGACGACATAATCAACATTCAACGAAATCCATAGCTTATTAAAATTTATTTTATGGAACTTAAACTGGTCGATTGACATTCCAACCCTCATCTATGGTCATGAGCTTTGGGTAGTGTCCAAAAGAATGAGATTGCAGATACAAGTGGCTTTTTCTCTGCAGAGTTGCTGGTCTCTCCCTTAGAGATAGGGTGAGAAGCTCTGTCATTCGGGAGGGGCTTGGAGTAGACCCGCTGCTCCCCCACATCAAGAGGAGCCAGTTTAGGTGGCTCGGGCTTCTAGATAGGATGCCTCCTTGATGCCTCCCTGGTGAGGTTTTCCGAGCACGTCCAACTAGGAGTAGACCCAAAGGAAGACCCAGAAATGTTTTAAATGGGTGGTCAGATTAGGGCCAATAATAATTATGGTAGCTCATCAGCCCCTCTGAAGTAACTCCTTGTAACTTTGCCCATGAATGAGTGCCAATTTTTTTTAAATTTAAAATAACAATCAGAATGTGTAGCTTTAGCAGGTTTCCCATTCAAGCTTTTTGGATTCGTTTGGATTTTCTGCAACAAAATGAGAAAAAGTACCTGAATAGTTTTCTTGCCTAACACATAAAAAAGCAATGCAACATAAATTGTCGCTCAAATTTGTGGTTGTACAGTTTAATTAACAGGTGACCTGGTGAAACTGTTACAGACACTTTTTTACTATAAATTAACCAAAACATTTTTTGGAAGTTGGTATAACTCATGTAAGAAATTCCAATGATGTAAGAACAAAAGGCCATTTGTATACAAAATGAAATATTCTTTAGAAACTTTAAAAACAGCTTATGTGTGTAGCAACAATAGTGAAGTGATCAGTTTTTGTTTACAAAAAGCTAAAATGTAGATTGATTTTCTTTTCTTTGATAAATGTCTTGCTTGTAGAATAAAAATAACCTCTTTTATTCAGACTCATAAACCATTGACATGAGTGACTTTGCAGGTGTGATTACCATATTTTTATATAGGTTTAGATTAAAAGGAAACCAAACAAAACTCTTCCTTTTCAAGTGTAAGATATTAGGCATATTTCATGCATTAATTCATTAGACTCTTATTTATTTCACTCAAACAAAACTTAAATGTACTCACCCACACTGTTCACTCAGCGGCTTTTATGTGCTGTGATATTTTCCTTTGATGCTTTCAACTTCATCGGATTGCTTTAAAGGAAGGTCTTCTATTATTCACTAGTTTACTTGATCTGACTCCGCTCTGTCAGACCTCATATTATTTATTGATGAACTTTTAGATTGTATCTGATTTCAAGAGCTTTCCAGGAAATATGCTATAAATCTAAAACTCTATCACTCTGGATTAACAACATCTTCATCCCACGCTATCTTCTCAAAACGTGGACTTCCTGGCTCTGTCTGTTGTAAGAATTGGTGGTAATCCTCAAGAATTACATCTTATTTAGTTTGATGACACAGAACAAAAGCTGAGTTTCTGGTGGGGAACGTGTGTGTGTGTGTGTGTGTGTGTGTGTGTGTGTGTGTGTGTGTGTGTGTGTGTGTGTGTGTGATAATTGGGTGGCTGCAGGAGATTTGTCCATTAGTTTATCTTTGCAAGCTGCAGCCTAGTTAGGAGACATAGCAGAGAAACACGCGTGCACACACACACACACACACACACACACACACACACACACACACACACACACACACACACACACACACACACACATCTTTCTTTAGCTGGCCCGATAAAACGGTCACCATAGCAACCACGAGGCATGCTCCACATTGCTGTCAAGTGAAAAACCTTGAAACTCTGAAAATGGCAAAGTTGCAGAAGCAAACAGCAGCCCGTGAACGTTTAGAGTTACAGTTCTGGAAGAGAATCCGTCCTCCACAAACCTCTGCTGCTTGGATTTCCCAGGTAGATAAATCGTGCTCCATGTCCCCATTTTCCTCCTCCCTACCCTCTTTGTGGTCTCCCGTGGTTAAGTGAGAGCTTTATTTAGTAGGTGGCACCAAACTGCAGTACCTCCTGCAGCTAATTCCCAGTTTATCAGTGTTCATCATACAAATAGACTCAAAATGTTTGTTAAAAATAAGACATAAACAAAATACTTGCTGGCAAATGGACAAGAAGTGACATTATTTAAATGATGAAGAAAATCATTCTGGCAGATTCATTAATTGAAGGGGGTGGAGGCTTTTTAAGTCAGTAAACAAGGTTGGCCTGAATACAAAATGTTGTGTTTGATTTGGAGAACGGATTTACATTTTAGGATCTCTGAAAAACTGTAACCCTCACTCCAAATTAGCTCAATTTCTTCAGTTTCCTCATTGATCCTTTATGTGCTGCAGCTTTTTAGCATGTCCTCCTCTGAGAAAACTGGCCCCTTAATCTGAACTGTTTTCTCTTCTGCTTTCTGCTGTGTCCTAAGACAGGAAATACAGCACGTCTTTCTCCATCTTGATTCTTCTCATCGAAATAGACACGTCATGTTAATTGTCTAACATGTTCTCCTCACTGTCTCCTAACAGGAGGTGAGCATCTCTTTAAGGATTCCACCGCTGCTCCTTGAGAATTCCGACTGGCTGCTGCTTGATTAACTGCAGCCCGTGAAGCACTGAGACCCACTCTAGGATTCTGGGATCATCCTCTCCACACACTGGGCTCTTGGAGCACACCTCCCTCCTCCCAGACTCTGACCAACTCTTTACTGAGGAAAGTGTGAACAATGTGACCGCTGGATTCAGTCAGAGCCATGTGATCTGCTAATATGGATGTCCGAACCACCACACACTGAATCAACACTCATCCAGGTAATGTAACATTCTCCCACCCTCCTCAAACAGCAGCTACACACTACTTTTCCTCAGTCTTTGGGGATCTCCCTGAGAATTTCATTACTTTAGAGTTTCATGAAACTTATATTAGTTGTACTTTGAGGAATTTATCTCATGGTTTCCTTTTTAAGCCATTTCCTCATTTTCTGTATTTATAGCTCCAGCTTGTAGTCAGAACCGGCTGGTAAAAAAAAATAATATATATATATATATATATATATGTATATATATATATATATATATAAATACAGGAAGTGGAATAGTGAGATGACATGGTAGTAAAAACGCACTGATAAAATGTTACCATGGGAATCAGAGGATTTTATGGCTTTTGGTTTGCTAATAAAACATAACCACAATACTACAGACGTGGAAAAAATTGTTTGTACCATTCAGTCAACGAAAGAATAACTCACAATTGTCACAGAAATAACTTGAGTCTGACACTAGTAATAATAAATAAAAATCGTATGTTACCAATGAAAGTCAGACATTGCTTTTCGACCACGCTTCAACAGAATTATTTAAAAAAAATTAATTCATGTTACAGGCCTGGACAAAAATGATGCTACCCCTAACTTAATCCTTGTTGCACAAACCTTTGAGGCAGTCACTGCAGTCAGACAATTCCTGTAGCTGTCAATGAGACTTCTACACCTCTGCAGCTTGAAGTTCACCTTTAATCTCCTTAGAAGTTGTCTAAGCCTGTTTCATGAGTTTATTTTTTTTAATAATTCCATTGAAGCATGGTTGAAAAGCAATGTCTGACTTTGGTTAAATTTCATAGAATTTTTATTTATTATTACTTTTGTCTGATTCAAGTTATTTCTGTGACCATTGCGTGTTTTTCTTTCATTGACCGAATGGAACCAGCAATTTTGTCCACATCTGAATATAAGACCTGAATGGCTATGGGTGCATTTATAATGGAATATTTCAACACATTTTGTTTTTCTTCAATTTATTCAATGTAACACAGCTGCATAAGATATAGCAGATATGAGCAGATATGAGCCTACTCCCTGACGAAGGCTACATTGCTAAAACGCATTGGAGTTTTTTTTAAAAGGTCATATGTCACCTAGCCGTTACAATAAAGGCTTGTGAACTTTTTCTATTTGAGAGTGCCTAGGAGTTTTTCTTTTTCTTTTTTTTTTTTTTTTTCAAATGAGCCAAAGTGAGCTTTAGGTTTTTGTTTAATGCTCTTTCTTAACATTTAACACTGAATAAAATTTTCCGCTCTGTTTAGCAAGTTTTGCATACAGTTTGTTGTTTTTTTTTTTTTGTCCAACTGTCCCTACAGTCTTTATGTCACTATGACTGAGATATTGCAGCCTGTTGTCTAAAGTTGATAATGCATTAACATAGCCAAGGGCACCCCCAAATTGCTGCCCCCCCCTAGCAAAAGCTAGTGTTAATAAATCATATTAACTCATTCACTGCCAGCCGTTTCCTGATTGCTAAAGGCCTTCGCTGCCAGGGTTTCTCGCCGTTTTTACAGTTTTTTTAAAGAGTCACAGAACGTTGCGCGCTAGGATGATGTCGACGCCAAAACAACGAAAACAACCAAAACAAAGCGGAGACTCACCTCTTACATCAGGAAGAATCCGCGTGTTTCAAGCGTGATCCGTTCTTTCATAATCCGTTGTCGAATTGTGATCAGAAGACGCTCTTCCGGTTCGTGCCTCACCTTTTTTTTACAGGAGCGTCCCAAAACGATCTCCTAACACATGGATTTTCTGCTTCCTGATCATGTGACGTGTGGCGTATGCAGATGAAGATCAGCTTCAGAGCTGAGATGTTTGTTCTCTCAGCGCGGGGGCTCGTTCCGATGCCCAAACAGTAAAAAAATGCAAATTGGCAGTGAACGGTTGGATCTAAAATGACGACTTTAGTTGTCAATGGCAGTGAATGAGTTAATGTTCACTCAAACCATGAATTGATCCTATTTATTCAAGACATAATTGTAAAACAAAATAAAAATAATGCAACTAATGAGTAAAGAAATAATCAGAATAAGAAAAAATACATATGTTTCTGCTGCTCACCGTTTTAAAAAAGTTTTTATCTCCATAGTTTTTTTGTGAACATAACAGGTGAATTTAACTAAAAAAATACATTAAATTTTAAATCCAATTTAAAATAACTTAAATGTATTTTTCTGAAATGTTTGTATGTAAAATTTTTGTTAAATGTTTGGATACGTTCTGTTTTTAAAAAAAATAATAAAAGCGAACAAAGGAGCAGTGCAATACAATTACATGTGCCACCCCAAAAATGTCTTTGGCCCCGTCAGGTTACCGCTATCAACATTTTCTGGAGGCGCCCTGACAAATCCAGTCATCCCTAAAAATATCTCATCTAATGAGGGAATTAATTATCCAAAAGTCATGTCAAATGATTGAAATGAAAGCTTTTATCATCCACGGATGATTCAGCGTTGTTTGTGGGATAAGAAGTTATAATGTTTAGCATTTAGCTTCATCAGGTGTTTTTGTGACACCCGATATTAGCCTGGCTTAGCTTTGCAGTTTTGTAACATTCCCAAATATTTTAGTGTCAAATTTTAAAAGGCTTTACTATTATTGGTGTTCTGATTTGAGGCCACATGTGACATAATTTGTACTTTTTAAATACATTCTGAGTAGTTTCTCTGCCTCATGATGCATCAAAACATGGATAATTACCATGACCCCCTAGTCTAAGGTGACGATCTTTGTTCCCTTTTTGCATTGTTTTACAAGGACATTTTGTCATGAGTAAAAATCGTTGAAACCAGTTTCAGCAATAGCTTAAAGCATTAAAGGCTCTTTATTGTTGCATTAACATGCGTTATCTTTTTGGCCTTTTTCTCCTAATCTAGACTATTAAAGCTTTACGGCAGGGGTGGGCAATTATTTTTTCCATGGGGCCACATGAGAAATAGAAAATATTGTGGAGGGCCAGGCCAAAAGGCTGAAGTCAATTATGCATAATATTAATGGTATTTCTTTATAAAAAGCAGTAAATACCATCGTTTTTTCAAGCTGGTAAGAGTAGACTAAATGTTATGAATGAGCAAAAAGGAAAAAGTGAGGTTGTCTTACAAAAATGTGATTTATTCAAATTTCCCAAGGCAATGGTAAACAAAGTGTGCACATTTGGTTTTTGTTAAACATTTGTGACTTATATTAGTTAACAGTTTCAGTCACATTCACTCCAAAACACATTCTGAGTTTCAAATATTGTTGGAAAGAGGTTCTTAGCATTCTACAGACACGCAGTATTGTCTGTAAAATAAAATCACTGAACTGTGATCTTGAGAAAGAGGTTTAAAAAAAAGTGTCCCAGTTCACTGCTAGTTGCCTACATTTGTGGTCCAAACACCTTATTTTGTGTTTTTAAGCTATTTTTTTCTTATTCATTGAGATAAATCTAGTCTCTGCTGGGCTTTAACGAGTGCATCAAAGTCAGGTTGAATGTCTGAGGTGGAGATGCGAAGCACAGCTGACACATGATCATCAGTGAGAGAGGATCTTTACCTGGATTTTGTAAACTTAATCATTGAAAATGTTTGTTCACAAATGTAGGTAGAGCCGAAGAAAACCAACATCTTCTGAGCACGTCTCCTCAGGTTTGGAAAGTCCTCCTTAAGAGAAGAGTAGAAATCCAGCAGAGATCCTGAATCTCTGCTTTCGAGTCCCAAACCCTCTTCAGCACTTTCCCCAGGCTGAGCCATCTGACAGCTGTGTGGAGTCCTCCAAAAGAGCCACAAACTGTCTGTGATTCATCGCCCGCGCCCTGATGAAGTTTATTATTTTAGTAACAACATCAGTAACATGGTTGATTTTTAGCACTGACTTGCACAACACATGTTGGTGTATAATACAATGCAAAAACACCTATTTTTGATCTGCATCGATTTCTGTCACTTTATCTTGCATGCGTTTCAAAAGTCCGACATTTTTCCCTGTAAGATTTGGACAACCGTCTGTTGTGACACCTGACAGTCTCTCCCCTTTCAATCCCAGAGTGTCCGTGCACGCATTTACCTCTGTAAAAAGATCACTCCCTGTTGTTGTCCCTTTCATCGACTGCATTGCTGCCAGCTCCTCTGTGAGCTTGAAGTCCGTTATCCCCCGGACAAATACGAGCAGCTGGGCTGTGTCCCGGACATCACAGCTCCCGTCTAATGAGAAAAAGTCAAAACTTGCCACTTCACGTTGCAGCTGAAGCTCCAGGTTCCCCGCAATGTCCTCGATCCTCCTGGTCACGGTTCGCCTGGACAGCGGGATTTGCTCAAATGCGCCTTTTATTTCAGGGCATATTAGTGCGGCAGAGTCCTCCATGCACTCTGACAAACTCTCCCTCCGAAAACGGCTTGCTGTTTCTAGCTATTTTGTGGGATATCACAAAGCTGGTCCTGGTTGCTGCATCCCTGGATGTGTGAAGCTTAGTAAAACAGCCTTGCTGCTTTTGCAACTTTGCTAGCAAAGCTTCAGATGTCCGTGCCCTCTCAGCATCAGATGAGTTCTTGTATTTTTCCGAGTGTTTCTTGTCGTAATGCCGACTCAAATTGTAGTCCTTAAACACGGCAATCTCCTCCCCGCAAACCAAACACACGGCTTTACCTCCGACTTCAGTAAAAAAAATACTTAGCAGTCCAATTTTTGTTGAAAATCCTGCATTCGGCATCTTTCTTTTTTTTTTTTTGCATGAGCGGACATTTCTCGGGCTACAATCACCATGTCAACCGCGGGCACTTGTGGCTATACGTATTGCGTCATTGTGCACGTAAAAAACAACTTCAAAATAAAAGCAATGCAGCCTTAGCCCATGCATGAGGTAAAATGAGAAAATACATTTATTTTGTAATTTCCAATTAACCTTACGCGGGCCGGTCAAAGTCAACCAAAGGGCCGGATGTGGCCCGCGGGCCGTAAAATGCCCAGGTCTGCTTTACGGTGACACTCCTCCCTCCTGAGGTGACCCAGGTT